GCCCGCAAACGTCCGCCGCGGCTGAAAAACATCGCTCCACACTTGCAGACGTAGCACTCGTGGCCAGGAAGTCTCGGGCAAGTAGTGCCACCACTGGAAATTCTGTTGAATATTGCTGTATTTCATCAAAAATAATAATAATCAGATTCTTATGACAAACTCAGAACCTGAAATATGAAATGTTTGAACCCACCTTCCACCAAGTTAAGCAATCAGCAGCCTGTGAAGAGGGCAGCCGATACTTACCCCCAAGGTACGCTGCCAGTTCGTCATAGGTCTCTGGCGCAGCATCCGAAAAGAAGTCGACATCTTCCTCAAGTCCACCACCAGGTGGCAGGGTTGTGTTCTTTTCGGGTGGCGGGGTGTCTTCATCTCTTGCTGCCTGGTCATTGAGGGCCTGTTTGCGTTGTTGGAATTGGTCTTCCAGAAGGGATTGTGCGCGGGGGAAGGCTGAGGGGTACCACTTCTGGATCATTGAGAGGCGGTAGCTGGGGTTGAGAGCTGTGGCGAGAAGGATGGCATCGCATGCAAGAGCCTCGTTGACGTAGGTGTCGATTTTTTTGAGCATGGTGTTGATCATGTTCTTGAATTCATCCTCGGTGATGGTGCTGAGCTTGCCCTCGAGGTATTGCCGCAGGAGTCGGTATTTTGCAAGGACCATTGAAGCTGATGGGATGTCGCCCTCCATCTTCTTAGTGATGTAATAGAATTCCTGTTGATGAAGTATAGAAAAATATTGATTTCATAGGTAATTAGATTATGAAATGAAAGTAATCTTGAAAATGACGAGGAAACGCTTACACTGATGATATCATTTAATTTCTTGACAATGTCCCAGTCGCTTCGTGTGATTTCATATTCATTGAAGTGGTTCTTGCCTCCCTCATGTTCTTGTCGGTCTCGCTCGTTCTCGATCAGTTTGTTGATTACGTTCCTTGCAATATACCCTCGCTCACGGCTCTCAAACTCGATATTCCAGCGGATGCCGTAACCGGCGATCAGAGTGGGGCCCGAGTAGTCGAGTTTTTTCGCCCATGTGTTGAATTCGGCTCGCTTGGCTGATGAGGAAGTGATTCGTTGAATCACATAATCAACCTATTTTAACAGTATAGATCTTGGTCAGGGGGAACTTCTCGAGATGAAAAAAATTATAAAAAGAAGGTCCCAACTAACCTTCTTCAATACTTTCTCAATAACATTGGCCTCCCTCAGTTCTGGTCCTTCATCATCACTGCAGTCGGAGTCTGAATCGTCAACAAAGCCATCAGTATCGAAGGGGTTGGCCAATGGGTCCACTTGGGCTGAGTCAGATGATTCCTCGGATATGGCACAGAGGCCGGGGACAAAACCCAACACGGGGCCAGTTGGTATTTGATCGCGTCGGGGTACTGAGATTGCTTTGAGGCCGGCATTGAGGATGAGGGCTAGCTTGTGACAAAAGCACCGGATATGATTCTTGGCGATTGAGAGGTGCTGATTGTGATTCGCGTCCTTCTTGAGCAATCGGTCGACTTCGACAGCCATTGTGAGGTTATTTGATCCTGAGTCAGTAGTTTGGGCTATAATGTAAATACAACAACCAAAATAAATCCTAATCAGCTGCTATGTCATACAGAGTTTGATACATAATAAATAACAGAAATACTTATCTTATTGTTCAAGAGGGATTTGAGGAGGATGTTGGCCAATGGAATAGCCAGATATTTGCCCTTATGTGTCCAAGCGATATACTTAACCGACAGATGACAGACCTTGAATGTCCAACTGTCATCGATATAAGCCACCGTGATTCCTAGAAACGCATTTCGATTCCCCTTGGTCGTCCACACATCATGGATCAGGCTGAGCTTTGAGGTATTTGACTAAGATGTGCAATCCAGAGGAGCAATCAGCCAACTATTTGCTTGAACAAGAGGACAAAATAAATTCACCTGGAGTGTGTCCAACACCTTACTCTGCAAGTGGCAGTACAGCCGATGGGCCTTGGTGGCCGCCCAGACGCGGGTGTATGGCTTGGCAACATGTCGGAGATATCTGAATGCTATACCTAAAATGAAATCCTCAATTCGAAGCCACGGCAACGAATGTCAAACAATCCAGAGGACGAGGAGCTGGTTGAAGGTGTTGTTGTCGAAATTGTTGCCGTCCACCATTTTCCGCATTGCGACCTGCTCGGGCTCGTTCTTCTGTGCTTTTTTCTCCTTCGCAGTCATTGGGAGCTTACACCCTGCCGCAATTGCCCTGGCTCGTCCTGGGCACGGTTCTCGGTTCTCGTTACCGTCCCGATGTTTGACGAGGTTTGCACGAGTTCCTACCCCTTTCCGATAAGGGTTATCGCACCATTTACATTTGTAAGACAATGGTTCAGTCTAAAAAATCATGAAAATTCAAACCACAATGTCAGTTGTGTAAAAGAAAACAAATAAAATAACATAAAAAAACTTACGTTGCCTTCTTCAAACACAGGGGGGTGAAAATAATCCTCTATCTTGTCAAACTCTGACACCTTTGGTTGCGCCTTGGTCTTGTGAAGCTTGAATCGGCGGTTTGCATCATCTGAATCCTGAGTGAAGTCAATCATCTTTGCCGTCCCGTGCGTTTCAGGTTCAGATTGAGATGAAGCTTCTGAGTCGGACTCAGAATCCGAATCCCCGCTGGATACAACGACCCTCTTGCTTTTGTGTTTCTTGTGCGTTCGAGAGGCCTTGGCCTTCTTGGTCTTGCGGGCGGCATGTGTCGAGGTTGAAGCCGAAGCGGATGATGGTCTTTGGGGACGTTTACGCGATTGTCTTGCAGACGTCTGAGTTGCTGAAGAAGGGGGAAGGGCCTTGCGAGAATCGTTGATGGGCCTGACAAAATTAGGGTCATTTCGGACTGGAGTGGTAATCCTCGTCGAATGTCGAGATGGAGGACGAGAGGCTGATGGGGTTCCTGGAGGAGGGGTGTTGGGCTGAGACCTGGAAGCAGGTGTTGAGGAGGTGGCCATGATCGAGTAGAGATTGTAGGTTTCTGGCAGCGGCAGCGTTGTTGGTCCTTGGTGAAGAGTTTGAATCACTATTCTATGTCTGAAAAAAAAAAAGTCCAATGATATGTCAGTTGAGATTGATCTGTCATTTGATTGAATGATTAAAAATAGTAATCCATTAAATAAGAAAAAAAATACTCACCTCACACTAGAGACAACCCTGAATAAATGGGAAAAGAAACAAATGATGTCAGTGATGAACCATAAAAAAATAGTGATGAATGAACCAATAAATCATAATGATAAAAGAAAATTAAATAAGAAAAAGAAATAAAACAAAATAAATACTCACCTGATAACAGACAAAAACCTAAATGAATGGTCAAAAAGGCAAAAGTGGTCAGTGATAAAGCATAAAAAATTGGTGATGAACCAATAAATAATAATGAAGATGAAAGCAAACCAAAACCCAAGGAGAGACACACCTGACAGTACACTTCAAAGGGAAATCTAAAAACACAACTTAAAAGAAAGTGAAGGTAAAAGTCAGTGGACTGGACAAGAGACCAAAATAAATTGAACAGAAATGAAAGATCCGATCCGATACCTGATACCGGATCGTATCGTATCGATGAATCACCTCAGGCCCTGACTAGTTGTCTTGCACAACGAGAGAAAGAAAAGAAAGTGGTCGGGGGCGGTGACCAACTCCAAGCGATGTCGGTGGCTGCAGTGATGAGGCCTGAGATGGGCAACCGGTACCCTTCAACAATCGTATTCGTCCGGGACCAAACGTCGAACCCACGAGAACCCACGACTCCAAGAGCGACGACAGCGGCAGCAGCAGCGGATCGTCCGGCGAAACAGCGACAAAGCGGAGGGCAGCAGACCGGGAACGACGAGTGGGGGAGGGCGGGCGGTGTCCGTTCGAGTCCGAGTGCAACCCGACGTTTGATGGGTGAAGCAACGAGGGGGGGGATCGAGGCCGGGCGGTGTCCGATCGAGTCCGAGTAATGAAGCGACAAGGGGGGGGGGTCCTCAGATTTGACAGAGGCGAGGCGGAGGGCAGGGGCAGGCCGGGAACTTCAACAAATGATGCCACGAGGGGGGGGGGTCCTCAGATTTGAGACGAAGCGGAGGGCAGGGGCAGGCCGGGAACTTCAACGACGAGTGGGGGAGGCCGGGCGGTGTCCGATCGAGTCCGAGTCCGACCGGACTTTTGGTGAACAATGAAGCAACGAGGGGGGGGGTCGTCAGATTCGACAGAGACGAAGCGGAGGGCAGGCCGGGAACTTCAACGACGAGTGGGGGAGGCCGGGCGATGGCTGTTGGATTCCAAGTCCTACCCGACGATTGATGGGTGAAGCGACCGGACGAGGGGGGGGGTCGTCAGATTCGAGCCGAGGTGAGGACGATCGACTCCCTCAATACGACACTTGTGGGGGGGTAGTGATGGGGTGGTGGGAATAGGACTGGGAGTCGGACTGGAGGGGTGGTGGGGTGGGGTATTACTTTCGTAGTATACCTTTGGAATTGAAGACCGACCCAAATAATGTCGGCGGGCCACAATCCAGGATCGGGAAAATATTGGATCGGCTTGGGCGATACCGATACCAAGTTCCCACGCGGCTCGTATCGGATCGCCCCAGCTGATCCCAATCATCTGATAAATTGGGATTGGATCGGAAAAACGATCCGATCCCGATACACAGTATTGGGGGACATTTCGATCCGATCCCCAATAAATACCGATCCGGGGATCGGATCTGTTACATCGTTGAAGTTGTCTTTTCTTGGTCATCAAGCCTGACAACAAACACCTCTCCCATCTCCCTTCTTCTTCTCATCTCTCATACTCTCCCCATCCTTTCATCGGACATCATCTCTGGACCGAACGTTTGTGATCATTGCTGGTTATCCCTCTGAACAGATTGTGGTCGTTGGTTCTCGAAAACTATTCTTGTCGTTTTGGAATCAGCATTCAATCTACCTTTGCTGTTTCTCGCTGGTCGTCTGACAATTGCTTTTGATCACCATGTCTGAGATTTCAGAAGTCACGGTTCTCCGCAAGGAACTCTCCAACTTACGGACTCCGCTGGAGACCATTGAATCAAGAATTAAATCGATACCTTTGGCTCCTGTCCAATTATCAAGTCAAATATCAAGTCGCAGACTGGCGAAGGGCGAGGATAAGCTGCAGGTACACGACAAGGAGGAAACCTCGCGGGTCTCGATTAAACTTCGCAAGACATCTTCCTCAAGATCAAAAAGAAATGCTCAGACACTCCGCAGCCGGTCGTTTAAAGTGATGCGACACCTCATCAACGTTGTGGATATCTTGCACGTTGAAGGCATAACTAGCGATTCAAACAAGATTCACATTAACAGAAGTAGTTCTTGCAATCCGGTTGCCTGTCGTTCCTCAGCAGTAAAGGCAAAAGCAGCAGCGAAACCAAAGAGAGCGTTGTCATTGAAGGAGGAGGCCATTCTGTCTGGTAGCCGAAACGAATTGGACGTCTCTGCTATCTCGCTTCCACCAATAACCGAGCTTGGAGCCCCAGTGAATCCAAAGTCAGCAAAGAAGCCTCCGACACTGCCAAAGAACTTAGAGACCACTCTCAGCACAAGCTCTGAGACCCCTCGGAGCCTTCATCCTCAAGTCCCTTGTTCAGCCACTTCGCTTCCAGCGACAACAGAGTTCCAAGGACCAATGAAAGCCGAGTCAGCGAAGGAGCCTGTGGGAATGCCAAGTAGACTGGAGACAACTCTTAATACCGGTTCCGACTCCCCTCGACACCTGCATCCTAAGCGACCTCGCAAAGTCAAGTTGTCCAACAACTCGGCTGCTTTAAATCAACATTCAGAAGTAGTATTACCCAAGACAGCTGAAATGTCTACAGTCACAAGAACTCCAGCGGAAAATATGCCGGAAGTTACGGAGTACAACCGCCTGCAACTTCGCTGTGGAAGTTTCTCCCTCCTCAAGCACGACCCTGCTATGCTAGATCTCCTACCAACATCAGTCAAAGACAAGAATTTCATTGCAACTGCATCAATGACCAATATAGAAAACTTACCACAAGCATCCAAAATGTTGATCAGAAGAAAGATCCTCGGTATTTGGGAATGGAAGGAAGGCACTTCAATGGCTAGGCTTCATGAGTACAAGACACCGGAACCTGGGACTACTATCAGTAACAGAAGCTTTAAGTTTGTTGGTTTTGCATGGAAAGGCACTTTAGGACAACAGCCCCCAAGAATAGAAGAACTTCACAAAGACATCTCACAAGGCGCCGACACTCTGAGATGGTATTGGTTCAAAGATCTCTGGTTACTTTTTTACTTTGATTAATTTTTCTCAAATGATAGCTTCATCATTTTTTTTTCTGTTTTTTTAGTAGTAGCAAATGTCAGCTGGCAAGCAAAATACAGTTACCCCTTAACTAGTCAACTGAGTATTTTGCTACACCAACTGCACTTCATACATTTCACACTCATGTCACTCATTTTCTTATTCATTTCACTCATTTCATTATTAACATACTCTACATATGCTTGTATCTAGTTGGCCTTGCCAAGCCAGATATATAAAGTTGTACGGACTGAAGTCTATTGTTCCTCAGACTTTCAGAAGAGACGAAAATAATAACAACCTTTTATTTTAAATCATCCCTCTTGAGTTTGAAGATACATCAACAAATCACTGCTTCAAACTTGCCTGTTCCCTTCACATCACCACATCACTGTCTGGAACTCTCAGCCTGCACTTCTCAAAACTTATCAACGGCTTGGGCGTAAACTCTTTGGATCAGACCAGTTTCTTTCTACGATTTGGAGCCACTGGACAACTCCAGTAAACTTCTGTCGAGCGGATACTAGTCACCTCGGAGTAACCCACCGCTGACAGCTGGAGAGATGATTGAGAGGGGAGTGGTAGCGGGGATAGTGCAGGACAGGATAGGGGACCAGTTTAGTATAGACACTACCGGGTCAAGACCGAAGAAGATGAGGAGATTGTTGAAGACTGGCAGATTTAAGAGGCCGGGACAGTTGTTGAGGATGGCAGCACGGCCAGTTCATGGAAGGATCTGAGAAGTCAAAGCCAATATCGTTAGCGTGGGTCTAAAAGAAGCACACACACTCATGGAAGAGAACCGACTTACAAATTCGGGAAAGATATTGTCAAGGAGATCATCCAGAAGAGTTGGTCGTGAAGATAGTCGAGAAGATTGTCAAGAAGACTGGCCAAAAGGTTGATAGCCGCGGAGGATAGGCGAGTGAGGAAGATTGTTGAGAGGAAGATAGTCGGGTGGATGACCGATAGTTGGATAGTGGATAGTCAAAGGGAGATGCGCTACCAGGCTGGAGTGAATATCCTGGTATATGGTATAAAAAAATCGTGAAAGGCCAGTGAAAGGACTCCGAGACGGAGTAAGGCAGGTGCGCAGCAACCCAAATCAGAGGATGTGAAAGGCTCTGTGAACAGTGCGCAAGAGCTTCCACACCCAGGCAGCCCAAAAGCTTCAAAAATGGGGATAACCAACCAGACCTCAGTTCCAGTCCCCAACTAGGCAACTCTTTTTCACACACACAAATCAACATCAAGGACATGGGTTCCACTCCCACCCTTGAAGAAAATTTATACATTACAAATACTGGGTTCAATTCTCACCCAAGGAGTAAATTTTTGAGAAATAAGAAGGCTCCTCTGTTCAATTCCCAGTCTCAATCAAATTAGCCACTAAAATAAAATAAACATAAAAATTATCAGAGTTATTATTATAATTATATCATCTAAATTGAGATTCTACTGTATAAAATACACAAGGTTTAGCCTTCAAACACAGTCATAAATCAGAATTGACTGGCGACAGTCAATAAGTTGGGGGAGGATGTGGTCATTGTTCCTGTGTATGAAGGGAGAAAAATTCAAAATTTTATTATTTATCAATGAAGGACTCAAGATATGGAAAAAAGGACGTTAGAAATGGAATCTAGGGCCAATTTAACCCCTAGTCACTCACTGGAACCACCTTCATATCTCTACTGGATCAGAAGTTACGTGGAATCAAGGATGTCACACAGAGAATCACAGGATCAGAGGCACTCAGCTGGAGGGTATATTGCATGGGGGTATATTGCATATTGCATATTGAATTCCTTTTATCCATATTGAATTCCTTTTATACTTACAGAACCACAAGTTGGCCACCAGTTGTACCAGTTAAATTCCCATTTATTCAGCCACAGAACACATGAATTCCTTTCTTACAGCTTGCAAATAAAAGGGATGCATTGTAGATAGTCTAGCCAAAATCCCTCAGTATTTTCAGGTACAAGGCAGCTAAAATGCCTCATACAGGGGGTCCCTTGGGGCTAAAATCCCTCATAATTTACTATATAAGGAGGCCTCTGCCTGCCAGTTGTTTTGCTCCTCATCCCACTCAGTACACATTTTTGGTGGGACACCTGTCACAGATATTTATTACACAAGAGGTTCACATGTAGTACAGTTCACAGTTGAAATATATACACAGTTTCACAAACATTACACAGAAGAACCAGTCCTTTGTTCCAGTCCTGGTTGAAGCATAGTGCTCCCAGACCCTTTGGGTTCAAGAACCACCTCTATTACATATACAGCATTAAGGAAGAACACAAGTATCAAGACATCAAGACAAGAAACAACATCACCAACTCAATCAATTCTTTGGACAACAAGATCAATCCTCAACAATTATACAACCATCTTTGAACATAATCCATTATCACCAATCAAACTGCCAAGCTTACCTTGGTGGTCTTGTTTTCTGATAATATAGAAAGGCAGAGTTTGAAGCTCATTTCATCCCTTTATCCATTCAGCAAAAAGGATCTTACAATCACTTTTTGAGTCTTACACTGTACAGAGCCTTTTTGAGTTTCAAAACTTTACCAGTGAGGTGCGGGAAAAGTTCTACCGGAGGGTCGACATAAATAGTTTCATCTATCGGGCTATGAACAAAGGCGCCCGTGATGTCGAAAGAGTTGATGGTCCAATTGTTTTTGATTGAAAGGGTGAGGAGCATTCGGAGTGTGGTTAGAGATGCCGTCGGAGCAAAAGTTGAGCGAACGTCTATGCCTAGCCGTTGTTTGAATCCTTGAACAACAAATCTAGCCTTGAGCTTGTCAACGGATCCGTCCGCTTTCCGTTTAATATCGAAGACGAAGCAAGTGCCGATTGAATGTTTCAATTCTTTCTCTTCAATGTCAAATGTGTCTATTTGTTTGAGTTGACTCCATTCACTTGTGTTGGATTTGCTTGGTTGGATAGAAAAGGATTTTGAATAGTGAAAAGAGTTCAGCTCCAATTTTGGTTTTGACTGGTGTAACAATTTTGGTTTTGACTGGTGTAAGACTCAAAAGTGATTATGAAAACTGTCAACCTCAGAGACATGTTGACATTTCCTAAAGGTTTCACAAAACAATTAAAACAAATAAAAAATAATAATATTGAAATTAATGTAGATTTAACTTACATGTTAGAGGTTTCACAGATATGTGATCTCTTGAAATTAAGATTAATCAAAGAACACCAAATCCTTTGAATATTAAAAGCAATCTTCAAAAAAGATGACTTCAGCCTTGCAAGATGATCAAATCAAGGCAATGCAAACATTACCAAGCTTTGGAAGAAGGACTGGTACAAAATATTCAACCCCAGAGACCGGAACAGTCCTTCCTCCCTCCTCAGCAAGAAAAAAAAATTCTTCTTACCTCTCTTAGTTAATTTTGAGACACCGAAATAAAAGGTTAGTGGAACTCATCTGAAAAACATAATCCTTCAGATAGTCTTATTCTATCTAATATCCTTTATCATAAGTGTCTGTACAAATTAATTCTGAGATTTAAGATTTTTAATTCACTCGTGTTTCATTCTTTTCAATCCTTAGATCAACCTCAACCAATATCCCAAAACCATCACCTCTGATATACTACTCCGGATCCCTTGAAGTAAGCCTTCCACTCCATTGATCAAGGTTAAAAGATTTCTTATATTATTATGTTTCCCTCTTCTCTTTCCTTTCCACTCGATCTCAACTCTAATAAAAAAACTATTATAATAATTAAAAATTTATAAAATTTAAAACAATTACCTAAAAACTTAAACTAATGATTGGGTTTGATTTTAATACCCCTTGCATGTCTCTTGACTGGATAAAAAATTATCACAATCAATACATATCTGATTGATCCTATCTCCTAACTTCCAGGAATAGAGGCCTAGGTGTCCCTTTACCGGCTATATTTATTCTTTGAGAATATAAAATTAACTAAATAAACAAATAAATTAAAAATTCATCTCTTATTCTCTTCTTTCATCTTTCTCTCTTATCCTAACTCATTTTTATCTAGTCTTATCTCCAGTAATAATATATTTATTATTACTACCTACTTTGTCCAGCTTGATCTCTATGCAAAGTCAACAGCTGACAAAAACCCTTAATTTGCTGAATGGAGAAGGGTATGTTGGAGTTGCAAGATCTGCCCTTCTATACTATCAGAATAACAAAACCACCAAGCTTAGCTTGGCAATTATATATATAGGGATAGGGATTAGTTTGAGCTGAATCTGCCAATTGATGTGTGAAAGGGTATGATGAAATTATTGAATATGGGTCATATGTGTTGATGTAGTTGTTTTTTTACCATATATTTAATGAATAAAGAGATAATAAGAAATTTTTATATTTTCTGCATAGAAACACAGTATTATTTACCACACTGGCTCCTTTGCAGCTTATGGCCCATCTTATATAAAGGTGATGTAGCCTTTCTGAATCTAAAAATTTTAGCCCCCAACTCCTCAACCACTCATAAGATGTTATCCTCAATTCCTCGAGGCTATGTGATTTGAAAATGTCTTACTTGTAGTACTAAGCAATTCATGACCCCAAATGGCTTTAGACAAGGAGTCCCTTTCACCAAAATAAATATGAGCTCCACATAAATAAATCAATTCCCTCACAAGCAACAAAAGAGCTTGCCCAGCTCATAAATGCTAATGAAAAAGTAATCGCAAACAATGTCAAGGCAGCAGTTAGATTGAATGCGCTTGAGAGGAAAGTATTGCTTACTGAGCCCTCAGCCAGCAAGAAGTGACAAGTGACACTTGGAAAGTACAGGTTAAAAAGAGTAAAGCTCACTGAGAAAGCGAGCATCCTCAAATGCTTTGATAGGAGAGGTGGACCCTCCGGACAAGTCCACACTCACCATTGGTGGGCATTAATTTAAATAGACCATGGCCATTGGCCAAGTTGTATCTTTCCTAATTATCTTATTATCTTATTATCACATTTTTGTATATACAATCAACTCATAAAGTCTGGTAGCCTTAGCTCAACAGACTTAGCAACAGCAATAGAAATATTTAGGGTCTTAGTTAAACGACTCCCAGAAATTGGAGTTCCAACTCCCAAATTTCTGGGACATCGAGAGGACCGTCTGTGGACGCTCCTCCGGACGTCCATGGGAGTTGGACCCGCAAAACCTTCAAAGGTTTTGGGAGTCGCTCCCCTTATAAAAAAATAAAAAACAAATAAATAAAATGAAAAAAATAAAAACCCCCCGGGGTTTTTGGGAGTCGATCCGCCACAAACCCCAGGGGGGTTGGGAGTCGGCGCCGGGAAGATGCCCTCAACGGCCAAGAGGGATTCCTCTCGGCCGCTGAGAGTGTATGCTCTCAACGGCCGAGAGGGATCTCTCGGCTGCTTAGAG